TATTCTACTTAGCTAAGGCAGTGTCAAATCGAGCTGTCACAACTGATACCATCTTGTATTATTGCATCATGGCTATTTAGCTCAACTGCTACGAACTGTTGGCAACTGTTGGACCCAACAATTGCGTCTTAGAAACGGTTTGATGAATATGCTGCCAAATGAACAGCTGATAAATGTAAACAAATGAAATTGCAATAAAAAGAGATAGTTGCGCCGATAGTATTTAGAATTCAACGCTGAGCTGCCACCGTGTTGAAAAAATCTTTCAATGTTATAATGAATTAAACAGTGTATAATTATATATTAGAAACGTGGTATTAGTATAGTATAGTATTTTAGTTACTTTATAACATCAGTAATATAAAATAGAATAATTTGTTTGCAACTGCCACCTAACAAAGCGACGTTAAATTTAATACGAGCGGCGTACGTCTTTGCGATCAGCTGTTTAGGCTAAGCCCAACACGTTGAGTTCAGGTAGCGTAAAAATTTTCCGCTTGAAAAAATGGCGGAAAGTTGCTGACTGTTGAGCTGACCGGAACTACTCAACTGTGCGTTTCGAAGACAAACACTCAACAGTTTAACAATAGCTACGTCTTAGAAACGCGCCCATTATTGTTGCGTGAGATTGAAAATGAAAATGTGTGTGTGAGTCTGTGAGTAAATTAAAAAATTAAATGGTTTAAAAACGTCAAGAATTTTAAAAGTAACTCTCAGCGGTTCTACCTTATTATATTTGTATCATGGCTTTCCCTTTACATCACTTTAGGAGTGATTGAATTTGGTTTACAGCTACAAAATAATATATTCGCATCGGCTGATGGACAAATAAAAAATTTCAAAATACAAAAGCGAAACGATGAATCTTAAAATTTATAATTTGCTACGAAACCTCCTTGTTGTCCAAGGCGACCTGTACAATATTTTTCCGTTACGTTTATTTATTTCATGTAAATATCAAAATGTAAACATCATGTTCCACGATTTCGCAGTTGTCGGTAAATTTACATTTTTATTAATGCTGTTATTTCGCTTAAATGGTTTTAAACCATCGTGAAATATTAATTTCCCACGCCCCAAATCAATTTTATTCGTTAATTATTTTTGTCCAGCTAAATCGTCAATTTTGCCTTGTGTGCAGCGTAAGAAAATATGAATCAAACATTAGGTGCGTTCGACAAGTCAAAAATTTGTAATAGTCTTTCCAAATTTTTACTGGATGGCGTTCGATAACGACAAAAAATTATCCAACACACAAAAATTGAGAGCGCAAGCGTTCATTTTGATGCAAGAGAAGTGTTCATTTTGTACTGGCAAAATTTTGGTCAGCAACAAGTAAGAAAGTCTAAGTTCGGGCGGAGCCGAACATTAAATACCCGGCGCAAGTATTAAATATATGTTTCTTCACCTTTCCGAAACCTACCGCTAGATGGTAAGCCGGGGTGTATCAATTTTGAGTAAATTGGCGTCCTTCAATTTCGAAATATTGAAGTTTCAAGCATTTCTGAAATTTACCGTTATATGAAAAGCGGCCGTAATTTTAGTCCGATTTCAATAATTTTCAACGCTTTGCTTTCATGTGGCAAGCACAATAACCACACCGAGTTTGGTACAAATTGGTAGAACGGTTACCGATATACATTAATGTGATCATAAGTGGGCGGTGCCCCGCCCTTTTCCAAAATTTTACCATAAACGTATTTCTTGGTAAAGAATTGTTGCAAGCATCAATTTTGAATAAATTAGCTTTAATATTTACTGATTTATCGAAGATTTTGTATTTCTCTAAATTACCGTTATATGGGATGTGGGCGTGGTTATCGTCCAATTTTAAAAATTTTCGGCGATTTTGTATGCTGTACCAAGGCCAACAACTGTGCCAAGTTTGGAAGAAATTGGTGAAGCGGCTCCTAAGATATACACATGTAACCATAAGTGGGCGTGGCTACGCCCATTTTCCAAAAATTTATAATATTCTTATTTTTCGTCTAAAAATTGTTGTAAATATCAATTTTGAGTGCATAATCTTCAGTAACTAAAATATCGCAGTTTTCGTATTTCCGAAAATTACCGTTACATGGGATGTGGGCGTGGTTATTGTCTGATTTTAAAAATTTTCGGCCATTTGGTATGCTGTGCGAAGGCCAACAACTGTGCCAAGTTTGGAAGAAATTAGTGCAGCGGTTCCTAAGATATACACATGTAACCATAAGTGGGCGTGGCTACGCCCATTTTCCAAAAATGTATAATATTCTAATTTTTCGTCAAAAATTTATTGTAAATATCAATTTTGAGTGAATTATCTTCAGTAGTTACTAAAATATCACAGTTTTCGTATTTCTGGAAATTACCGTTATATGGGAAGTGGGCGTGGTTAAAGTCCGATTTCGCCCATTTTCAATACCAACCTACCTTGGATTAAGGGAAACCTACATACCAAATTTCGTTGAGATATCTCAATTTTTGCTCGAGTTATCGTGTACACGGACGGACACTGACGGACAGACGGACGGACAGACAGACATGGCTTAATCGATTTCTTTTTTCATCTTGATCATTTATGTATATATTTGTCTATATCTATCTCGATTCGTTTTGGCTGTTACAAACAACCGTTATGTGAACAAAATTAATATACCCTTGTGCACAAGTGCGCTCGGGTATAAAAATTATCCAACACGAAAACATATGATCACAAAACATATGGTTGCAATTTTTGTAAACAAACAAAATTGCATTTTCCGAGTTTTGGTATTTGGTATGCTTTTTGGCTGCCTGCTATGTGACTTTATGATAGCGCCAACTAGTTTTTACTTCTAGAAATGTTCCTGGCGAACATTGAACGTTCAATTTCCTTTTTTCTCTATGGAGGCAACATGAATTCCAGTTTGTTTACAAATAAAACATAAACAAAGTCAGCTGGTGTGTCTTCTTCTTCCGGTTTTTTGCAAGTAATAGTTGTGTTTTTTTACAAATTATCCAGTAACTTGCCAGTAACTCTCCAGTAACTTTATTTCTAAGAATTCGCTCTCATAGAAAAAATTTGCAAAAAAGTACGCGAACGCTTTTCCAGTAATAATTTGCAAGTTTCATGAACAGCTGATAAATTGGTTGTTTATTCGCAGCATATTCCCAATAAAACGATATATTTTATATTTAAATATGTTTGTTTTGAAAATTTCCACAATAAAAATCCACAAACAGTTTCCTTATTAGTTTAAATTTCATACAGCAACATGCGATCAGCTGTTTTTCGTACTGGCAATTTCTTACAAGTAAAAATTTATCCAGTAAAATCCAGTAAAAACTTGCAACTTCAGCTGTCATTTTTCGCTCTCTCAATTTCCCCTACTTTGCAAGTTTTTGCGTACGAAAACGCCAAAACATGAAAATTCGTAAAAACTTTTACTGGATTTTACTGGAAATGAGTAAAAAAACGCAACTAATGGCTAATTTCCTGTTCGTTTACTTTTTTGCTTTTTCATCTCTTTGGGAGAGAATTTTCGCTTACTCTCTTGATTTTGATTGTTGGCTGGTGTTGGCTAATTTTGTTATCGAACGCAACTATTCATTAAAATTATTCAAACATATTCATTATTAACAAGATAACAATGAAATGAGATTCATCTTTTCAGAGCGCCCATGCAATTAGCTAATTAGACAAAATATAAAAAATCGTTTGGTCGAAAATACTGTTGTTATGCCTTTCGGGCACTCTCTACCCCTCTTACCCATACAAACCCGGTTTTAGGCGGACTGAGCAGTCCAATTTGCGGAGGCTCAATGTCGATTGCTTTCAAAATGTTACTATAATTGTTTTAAGTGTATAAATAATAATTAATTTTAATTTTAAAACTTTTTATGAATACTATATCTATATTTTTTGGTGGCCGCTGTGGTGTAGTGGTAAGCAGTGCGCGCTTCCACTCCGCAGCGCCTGGGTTCAAGCCCTGGTCCAAGCAACATCGCAAAAAATTTTGAAAAAAGGTTTTTTCTTAACAGCGGTCGCCCCTCGGCAGGCAACGGCCAAGTGTATTTCGGCCATGAAAAACTGCCGTTCGGAGTCCAAAACATGTGATTTATAAAAATATAATTCATTTAAAAACAATATATGTGACACGTAAAGTTAAAAGGGACGTGCGCTCAGAAAACGATTTCGAGAAAAACGACTTTGAAGTTTACCAAGTTGATTTTGATGCTTCTGAACGTTTTCATGGATTGAAACTCGTTACTCGGGGGCTTTTGGTGTCGCGGATTACTAATCCGATGTTGGTATTTAAAAATTCAAAGTGGCGGATCCAATATGGAGGAAAATTTTAAAATTTTTTCGGATTCATGTGAAAATCAAAAATGGATATTGGATCCGCTATTTTGAATTTTGAAAAACTAACATCGGATTCGTAATCAGCGACACCGAAAACCCCCGAGTAACGAGTTTCAAGCGAATTTGATTAATTTCAGAATAGTTTGTCAGTTTTGATTTTTTTTGTACTTTTTTTGTGAAAGTACCTAGCTTTGTCACATATAACCACATAATAAAATGTCTATCAAAATCGAGCTCACGATCAGCCACTGTGGGAGAAAAGGCAGCAAAATTACTTTTTCTGAAATGTAATATGCTCTTTTGAACTTTGGCTACTAGATTAAAACACTGTATAGGTTAAGCACTGGTTCAATGTTCTAATAATTTATAAAACGATGACTTAAGTTAATTATAGCTTTTACGCGAATGTGAAAAATATGATATTCGAATCATCCCTAGTATGTACGGTATGTAATTAATCAAAGTATTGTTATATGAGAGTTTTTTCCTGATTCTAAGAAAATTTACGAAAAATTAAATTTTATTTTCATTTGGTTTTCAAAAATACTAAACTTTTTTTTTAGTTCTCAATTTCAAAATTTCATTAGTAGATTGAAAAAAAAGAATTTAAAATTGCTGAATGGAAATGATAACAGTTTGGCATTCGCTGTATTAAGAAAGTTTGCGAGTAACTGAAAAGAGTAGCAGAGATGTCAGCAGCTACGGAATTTTCGTATTTTTTAAAGGCAGAAAAACCAATTAAATCGTTTGAGTTCTTTGTGAAAAATAATCACTAGATTAACTTTAAACATTAAATAAAAGAATTAAAGACTTTTTGTGAAAATAGCTCATCAATTGCACAGTGAAAATTGTTTGTGAAAATCGTGCTTTGGTAGGTGTTTGGATGTTTGATGAGCTGTTCGTGCATTTACGATAGCAAGTAAAACGAAGAGAAAGGATAACATTTTGCAGGTAAATTTCTTCAAAATGCGATATAAGTATTATATAAAATTTACAGGAACTTAAAATATAGGAATCTTAGTTACTTAAAATAGTAAAATTTGTGGAAAATCATACATATTTCTAAAGATATTGGTAATTGAAAATGGTGCTCGCTACACGAAATCAATTGACATTCGTCGATGCGCATAATGTTGCCATCTGCCAAATAAATAAATTTATCCACTCCCATATTTTACCCAAATTTAACAAAGTGTTAGTTTTTGATAAATGAATATAAATGATCGCTCACGTTAAAATTTTACGATGGGTCAACATTTTCGCTAAAATTAAAGTAAACTGAATTGATGTGAGTATGAATTATTCCAATATATGGGCATTTTCCAAAAAAGGTAAACTGAAAATGCAAGTAAATGAATTTAAACGGCTTTATATAATTTATTGTTTTCTTCGAAAATAATCAACATGGGCTGAGATAATATATCAAGACAAAATGCTCTTACAAAACAATGGAGAATTTACGTGACGCGATTTTACATGCAACTTTTAGTTGAATGCAAGGTGCCTGGTGTAAATTCCCTTTCAACTAATTTCAATGAAGTTGGTCAGCTGCCTTTTTTCGGTCAACTTTTGATTCAACCCTATAAATGATAGTTGCGCGGGGAGCACGTCACTTGTTTCTATACAGAAAGGTACCTAAAGCGGCGATTCAGTAAATTGAGTAAAACAAATTATATGCTTAGATTATATATGTATATATATAAAATATATAACAAAAATTACAAAGTCCAAATTTATTCATTTAATTTTTCTTTTAATCTAGGTGAAATTAGCTTATGCATATGTATCTAATAAATAATAAATATCTAAGAGTATCATATTTTCGGAACTGTCGGAATGGACGAGATTCCGAGCAGCACAGTACATATACGGGGCGGTTGGAAAGGACTAGTTTCCAAGCCGACTCTTCTCCATACCACTTTAGAGGCAGGCGCACTGAATGGACGAGATCCAGAGTCATGCTGCTTTAACGGATGGAAAGAACTAGTTTCTTTTTGCTGTTTAATGCTCAACCAATATAACTCTGCGATCATTTCCTGTATGGGTGTATCGTAGCGTTTGTTCAAAATAAATCGCATAGGTCTATTTTGCTTTTTCTGAAGTTTACGTTGACGTTGACTGCCCTAGATATGATCATAGACTTAGTTTTTGTCACATTTAGTTGAAGTTTGTTTGCACACAACCATTTGTATAAACAATAATTGCATCTTTACCATTGCATTAGGTATGTTCCTGTCGCTAATCGTTAAGATAGTATCGTCAGCGAACAGTTTTACCTTAAAGTGTTTCAAATTTGATTTTATATCATTGATATAAATATAAAAAAGTATTGGAGCTAGTACCGACCCTTGTGGTAGACCAATATCAACTGCTACCTTCGCTGATAAGGATGTACCAATCAGTGTTTGTTGCTTTCGGTCTGAGAGGAAACTACGGAACCAATTAAGTTCGGAAATCTCTATATAATTATGTTCCAGTTTTTTCAACATAATATCCCTGTCAATTGTCTCGAAGGCTCTTTTGAGATCAATGAATACAGTACAATATTCATCATGGAATTAAGGTCCTCTTTCCATTGTGATAGAACCATGACTAGAGCAGTTTCACATGAGTGTTTAGCCCTGAAACCTGATTGCTCTTTAATGAGTATATTATTAGACTCGATATAGTATGTTAATTGGTTTTTTACAGCCGTTTCCAATATTTTTTCCAATTTAGGGAGGGTATTTATTGGCCTTACTTCCTCAGCTTTAATGGTATTTTTAATCTTTTTTACTGGGACTATGGTCGAAGTTTTCCATTCATTTGGTACAGTCCCTGACCGCAGGCTATTATTTACTAGCTGGGCGTAAAAGTAACCCACATATTCCACGGAATCTTTACTCACACCCTCGGTTAATATATTATTTCCACCAATTTTTGTTTTGAATTTCTTAACAATAGAGATAACATCATCTGTACTAATTTCATCAAATGTAAAAGTAGTTCGACGATTTTCCTGGCGTATCAAGTCCCCGTCAATGTTTTCTATATTTCTATTTATCTCGACGATACTATCCACAAAGAAGGTGTTTAACTTGTCGGCAATTTCACTACTATTTGTGTACATTTTGCCATTGATAAGCACTTCCATGATGTTTTCTTTGTTGTCAGTGCTATTGACAATATTTTTCAAATATTTCCACATCAAACGACTATAATTTCTATTTATATCAACTTTGTCTTCCAAATATTGTATTTTTTTAGTTTTAATCATTTTCTTATACCTTTTCTTTATTTCATTATATTATACCCAATCACCTGGGACTATTGCCTTTTGGTATAACTTGAACTTTTCCTTACTGGTTTCAGTCAATTGTCTATCATACCATTTATTTCTAATTTTAACGCGAGTTTGTACCCTAGAAGTAAGTTTATTCATACTCGAAATCAAACTGTGATACGATACGAACTCAGATATGTACAATATGGCTGACTTCCAAAACGTCAATTGCATTGCATACGTACAAAGTGTAATGTTCCATAACGCCGAACTACAATTGGTTGACAATGTATACTTTTCGAAAAGTTATCGAAACGCATCGCTAGAGTAATCAGCGCATCAGAAACAAAGTTGATGCGTCGTTTGTTTTTGGTTACCATTTGTGTTTTAAAAATGGAAAACTTTGTTGAACAGCCACAAAAAAAGCAACAAATTTCAACCCAAATTTCAAACTTTTTGCTCAGTATTGTTAGAATTTTTTTGAGTACACAGTTCATTTTTGTGTAATAATGTGGAAGTTTAGAATATTTTGAGTACACAGTTCCATAGTGCATTCAGTTTTAGTCTAATAGTGTGCAAGTTTTAAGTAGCTAAAAATTACCGTTGATTGGTTAGAATTTTGCGGGTTTCTTCATATCAAAATAAAATGAATTGTGTGTATTCGTTGTATGGAAGCAAATGGGACAAAAAATTCTAAAATATCAGCTGGAATTTTCAGCCTCTTGAAATTTGCACACATCAGACTAACATTTAATGTGCTATAAAACTGTCTACTCAAAAAATTTCTAACACTTCTGAGAGTAAGTTTGAAATTTGGGTGAAAACCTGTTCCATTTACAAAGTTTTAAACTTGAGTCTATATGAATTTTGTTAGAGAATGAACTGTATTTTATTGAAAATTCTTACAAATATGCTGCTATTGACCGACACTGTATATGTATACATATATCGAGGGCTTATATATATTTATTTCATCGATGATGTTAATGCACACCTGGTATATCACTTTTTGGAAATTTTATCTATTAAATTGCAAAGTTAAAATTATAATCAGTGGTGACAATGAAGTCCCAGATGAGTTCTATCATGGGGAATAGTTTTTGTAAAAATTGCAGATATATCGTATAGAATATAAGCCCTCGATATATATTGGCTCATCCAGCTATACCTTTTTCTTTGCTTAACTAAAACTCTTAAAACGGAACTGGATGTCGTAATCTTTATTGTTATCCGAAAGAACAATCTCTGGCATTTACTTCTTAAAAATAAATTCATTCCAATGTTGACCGCTGACAGACCATAATCGTCGATATTGAGCGCTACCGTACCATGATAACTGCCTTTTTGTTGCTTGTAATTGAAGCCTGTGACGTCGGCAACATTTGGTTTAAGCAAGTTATCGTGTGATATCAGAGAGTAATTGAAAACTGGACCTTCCGTGTGGACCACATATAGCCTAATCACAGGCAACATTTTAATAAAATTATTTTTAAAAAGTAAATGTGCGAGAATTTTATTTCCGGTAATATTAAAGATTCCGTCATCCAGTTCTGTTTTAAGTATTTTATTTAAAAAGAAAAAAAAGGCCTATATGGATCAACCTGTACATGTGTATCATCGAAACGCTATATTATCCAGTTGCGAAAAAATAAATTTACCAATTTTTTCCTATTATTTCTAAGTTGTTTTTATTTTATTGATCGAACGCATATACATTATTGGCCAATACAATAGCACCCGCATTTCAAAGTGATATTGTTTGCCACTCACGTTTATATATTTATTTTTAGAAATTTACAAAAAAGCATCAAATTTTCACCCAAATTTCAAACCTTTTTCTCAGAAGTGTTAGAATTTTTTCGAGTCCACAGTTTTATAGTCCATGTAATTTTAGTCTAATATTGTGCAAGTTTTAAGTGGCTAAATATTACCGTTGATTTTTTAGAATTTCTTCGCTGTATGGAAGCAAATGCGACAAAAAAATCTAAAAAATCAACGGTAAGTTTTAGCCACATGAAACTTGCATATCACAGACCAAGGCGCATCCATACAAGGTGGTGGCAATTGCATATAAGTAAAAGTTCCGTGTATTTTCTTATTGCTTTTTGGTACATCTGGATGTCAAAACGAAAGGGAATGGGAGATAATTTTCGTAATTTCGTTTTGTTGACATCCTAAAGTTGCGCCGTTTCGTCCTGTAGGTACTAGTGTAGAGACAAAAATATCCATTCAGCTGTTCAATCAACACCACTTTGTATTGATGCGCCTTGTTACAAACTAAAATTTAATGGGCTTTAAAACTGTGTACTCGAAAAAATTCTAACACATCTGAAAAAAAGTCTGAAATTTGGGTGAAAATTTGTTGCGTCTTTTTGTTGTCTTTTTAAAAGTTTCAAACTTGGTTTTTTATGAGTTTTGTTAGAAAATGAACTGTATTTTAATTGAAATTTTTTGAAAATAAATAAATATAAATGGCAACCGATGAGGCGAATTCTTGATTTCGTACGGATCGAAAATTTGAAATTTTTGTGTAGAAGATGATTGGAAAAAAATCATGATGTTCGATTCGTACGAAAACCAGAATACGCCCCAATATCACCTTGAAATGCGATTGCGTCTAATAGTGTCATTATGACCCTATTAAAGCATTCCTATTTACATATGACTAGTAGATTAACATTTTACCAAGGCGAGCAAAAACACTTCACATTGATAAATCCATTAAGTAACATCTGGCAGCACCGCGCACATCGCAGTGCAGAGACGAGCAGCCAGCGGTCGGTTTGTATTTAACAGCTCAGCAGGTTGCGAGCCGTCCGATTGCTTGCCTGTTTGCCTACCCGCCTCTGGGTTTCCCAAATTTGTCTACAACTAGCAGGTCGTGCATAATCCGATAAATAATTATGTTCTTTTCTTATACAGTATTGCAGTGAAGATCAGTGAGAATAAACCAAGTAACAGCAGTGTGTCGGAAGTCAAAAATTGCAAGAACACAATGGATTTAGGAGAATCTAATCAAGCAGCTGATGGACCACCACAAACAATAACCGCAGGACCAGTTACAAGTTCAAACGCAGAAACAATCGGGATAGCATCAAGCTCTGTAAATTTTGGGGAGTCCACAGTGGGTATAACTGCACCATTAAATAATAAAACCTTAAAACGCTGTTTGAGTGTGCCAATATTACGCGCTGGTCCTTCATCCACTTCTATGACAACTCGATCTGCAGCCGCAGCTTTGGCGATGCGCAACGGGGGACACGCAGCTAACCCCAAAGAGACGCTAGCTACACCAAAGAAGAGTCAAACATTTACTATGCGTGATACTATTGGAGATGTTTCTTCTGGTAACAATTTCAGTCATAATATGCACATTGGAATACCACGTTCAAATCCTTCCTCAAGGTATTATTTTAACAAAACTTAAGCTTTCTGAATGTCTAACATTTAGTAACACTTATAAATTATAGAGAAGTATCACCAGCTCCAATGTTTAATATATTTGCACCAAGAGCTCGTCGTTATTCGGCTAGTTATACACCGCATGGAGCAGCTGGTGCTGCAGGCAGTGCTGCTGCGGCAAGTGGTTTACCACTGTGTCTCACGCCACGAGTTTCTCAATTGCGCCAAGAGGAGTGCGTGGACATGGTAAACAGTCGTGAAGCAAATCATGAACGTGAAATACACAGTGCCATGCAGATGTCACAAAGTTGGGAGGATTTGACTTTAGTTGCTGAAAATTGGTCCTGTAAATCAGAGGAGCTAAGCAATCCCTTGCAGGTCATGTTGCCCTCTGCGACAGCAAGTTGTTCAAGTCCAAGCCCAACAAGGTATTAAAACTATTGATTATTGCAAAAAAAAAAGAAGAAATTATATATAATTGGCGCTTACTCCATTCCTACAGTAATCGCGCCGGAATGAAGCTTCCTTATGGCTTGTCTCCATCGCCAACAAGACGTACTTTCGCTACGCGTCGCTCAATGTCACCAATTGCTATGCGGCCCTCGCAGTTAGGCCCTGTTAAACGTAAATTTGAGCTGGATGACAGTGGCCCTGGCAGTAATTGGAATGTATACTCCCAACCACCATTAAAGAAAATATTTACCGAGAGGTAGAGTTAAGCTGAAACTCAAACTTTGTGTTTGATTTCTAATTTATTATTTTTTAGTCGGGGAACTTCGCCTGTTTGTCAGTCACCATCTTCAATATGCCCCAGTCCAGATTCTGGCACATATGATGGTCGAATAACACCAAAGCTATTCATTTCAAAGTTGTGCACCAACAATACAAATAATAATTCAGCATGTTCATCGCCGAGTAGCAGCGTAAGTGGTGGAATCATCGACTCAACTACTACCTTAGGTATATGTTCATCCGCCTCTTCAACGACTTCTTCCGTTTCTGGTGGCAGTGAGCCTATGTGCATTGGAGGTGGTAGTATTGACGAAGGCATTTCCATTGCGGATAATGATGACAAACTTACAAATAACACTGTTTCGACAACTAGTAATGCATCCGTAGGCAGTGGTGATGCAAGCGGAGGTAATGGATTGCAACCAATGAGCACAGATATACAAGATGATGCTACATTATTAGATGACATGAAGAGTGAAACATCCTCGATTGGTGGATGTTCAAGTATCAGTATCGAATCGTCTTCCTGCGATAGCGCCTCTAAAGCCGCTGCTAGTTTTCTTAATAGACTGAACGTTGACGATATTAGTACAAGTCCACTTGCAGTACAGAAGAGCTTCTACATAAACAAACAGGGTTTAACAGGACACAAAAAGTTTATCGTAAGCAGTGGGGTTGGTGAGCAAAATGATAGTATTAACGTAAACAACACCAGCGCAAGCTCCCCTGCTCTGATTGTAAACACGGCTGATGTTGCCTCCGCTTCATGCACAAGCGGATCATAAATAAAACGGTTGATATTTGATTTTCGTAATAAATTAAGTTATCTAATAATTAATCAAGAATTAATTTCTGCATATGCTGAATATGTTGATTTGCCCCTGATATTAAGCAAAAATTATGCTGGGCTACGTACCTACTACTTATAATAATTAGAATTACATACCTGGAAATTTCTTATTCGTTTAAGTTTACAAACATATTCTATTTTTCGCCATCACTTATTGTTATCAACTCATTTTTGTAGAGTTTAGTTGTCACCACATATTGATGTTATAATTATTTGCTATAATATTTGTTTGTCATGCCAATTATGGGCAGTGCGAATATTTTGGCTGCCCTTAATTCGAATTTCATATACAAATTAGTACGATATTTTAAGTCAGTCCGGCAGGTTCTGCAATTCACTTCCGACTGAATTTGAGTCAAGTTCGCTTTGAATTCAAATTGGCAAGGGTTGAACTTCACTCGGAAGTGAATTGCAGAACCTGCCCGAGTATGTTTATATGTATTTATTTGTATTAGAATAATTTACGTAAAGTGAATTTTGCTTACAAGTTAAAAAGAAAAAAATTTGTTCTCTTTTTTGGTAAATATACTTTTAGAAAATATTTATTAGTTTACCTAAATTGGTAACGGACGCCGTAAAGACTAGATCGAATTATAAATTATAATTTGGCAAACAGTGTAAGCATATTGTCAAGTGGCATTTGCTGGTTTAAAATAAAATTATTTCGTTTCATTTAAGCTATTTAATTAATAAAAATTGTGTCGTTTTTAAAAGCCTATATACATAAAATAATCAAATAATACTTTGGCGAACGGTCGATTAGATATTAGTATGGTAAAGAAAAAGGCATGTTTCCACATGTATAAGCATTAATAATGTAATTAAAATTTGCCAAACATACAGATGTATGTAATTCTGTTCGAAAACTTTAAACTTCGATTTATACTTACATGCATTATTAAATAAAATAACTTTAGAAATAGTTGGAATAAATCTTGTCCATTGTTGGAGAGATTCTAACATCTGAAAAGAGCTTTCAAGAGAGCACGTTTAAAATATCAGTTTAGTTGCAACATGTATGTATGTAACTTTTTGAACCAATAAAATGTATACAATTTAAAAATAATGAAAATATATACATATGTATGTATGTGTACTTTGTTTTTATTATTTTTAAATAACAGGAAGGGTGAACATATAAAATTGCGTATAAATAAATTTAAGATATACATATATCTTAAAACTTAAAAATATTTAAGACCAAAAAGGTTAAAAACGTTTAGAATCACAAAATGTTTTGCAAACAGCATTTATACTACAAAAAAGCGTAAGAGTTCGAGACATTTTAAGGAGGAAATTTTACAGTAGCATGTAGATCAGGTTAAGGAACATGGGTGTGACGAACTATAGCTTTCGATAATACATACATATAATATACAATTTATAATAAGCATTTTTTAAATACATTGAATTTTAGGATGTTACAAGCAACAAGAATATATTTAGTTTTAGCTCGTCCTTGATCTAATGTCGCATATTGCACTAAAGTGTAAAATGCATACGCTTTTACAAATATGCTTCTAGTACGACATGTTTGGATTTAGCAATTTTAGCTTTTGGAACAATTGACACACAAATTCCAGAGCTTGTTCTCTAACTATTGATGTGGAATTAAGTTATGCTGAAGAGAAATACGTTGTTTCTGCAAAACGTATACAAAAATATTATGCTTTAATACTAAAAATAGTCGTACAGCAATTGTTTTAATATCATTTTTAACATCTACTTATCTAATCTCATAATACTTTGAATGTGTTTTTTTTTTTAATTTTACTGGAAATATTTTATTTACTTAATGTATGTATACATATATAAACATGAAGTTAAATACATATGTATACCAGGGTTGTTGCGAATATTATTCCGAAATAAAAGTCCTTTCCGGATAATAAACAAACCGCCTGTCCAAATTAAACAAATTTGGTATCATATGAAAGAGGAATGAAATAGCTTTTAAACAGAAATTACGAACGATCTTAATTTATATTTTTTTTATAATTTAATACTAAAGAAATGCATACACCTGACACAATGTTTGTTCTATGGTACTTGAATAACATTTTTTATTGAAATATTTTTAACTATGTGGCTTTCCTTGTTTAGACATTTCAGTTATAAAGATATTAAAGTCCTCTTTAATTTGGTACCAAACTTGTTTAATTTCGATAAGCGGTTTGTTTATTTTCCAGAAAGGACTTTTATTTCGGAATAATATTCGCAACAACCCTGATGTATACATATAAATGGAATGTCACTGGGAAACATTTTGCAAAAGGAAGATCGTTTAAGTGTTAATTACAACAAAACAGGAATGCTTAAGTACTTCTTACTACCTTCATTTTGCTTAATATTGCTATAAAAATATCTGGAATGATAGTACATTTATTTCAGATGCCGGTTCTATCTTCGGTATATAAGTATGTATGTATGAATTTATGTATTATTTGAGCTTCTACTATGATTTGTGATTAGCGTCTTTTTGTTATCCGACAAATTGAGGTTTGTAAGCCCGCTGTCGAATATCAGATGCGTTATAAGCTTCATCATATCAGAACTGCACCGGAGGTGTACTTTTAGAAGAAATATTTTTTTCTACCTTTTGATATACAAATTCCTCCACAGTCTTGCTGCGATGTATCAAAAATTGCATTGGCCGGCATAATTCTAGACGATTCGCTTAGTATGTTACTTTTGGAAGAGTAAGTATTTCTAATTGAAACAAGTTGCTCGTTGTAATGCAGTCTCGCGCAGTTCCTCCTTACAAGCACTCACGTGCTCCACTAATTCGTCGCGTAGTTCGAAAGTTTTCTTGCAAATATAGCATTCATAGAGATACACAGATGGATCATGTTCTTTCAAATGCTTGGTGTACGATTCGATTTCTGTGAAACGTTGTTTACACTCGCAGCACTCGAGCCAATCTTCCGTGGAAGAATCTTCTTCGTTTGAATCATAACTACTATCGTAGCGGGTTTTTGCCCGCTTTTGCGGGCTGGATGTGCTGCTGGACGAACTTAGTTGTTGCTGGTCAAAATTAGCATCGTCATCATCATCATCATCATCATTCTCGTTTGCGTGAGCTTTCTTATGTTCACTGTACTCTAAGTAGTCCCTATATTTTCTCGGACAATGGAGACATTTATAATACCGATCTCGTTGATGTGTCACCATGTGCTTCTTCAGCGTTGAGTATTCTCTGAACGGCTTGCGACATTTATTACAAGAAAATGGCTTTTCGCCGGTGTGTATCATAAAGTGGCGTTTCAGATTGTGACGCGTACCGAATGGACGCTGACACAACGGACAAGAAAACTCCTTACGTGTTACAATGCCTTGTTGATTGTAGTTATGCCGATGAACAACTGGAATGTTGTCAAGTAGTAACTGCGTGCTGGTGGTTACTGTCTTTTGAACTGTAATCGGCGCATTTATAGGCACCAACGACGGCATTTCCGAATTGAGCAAAGTTGTCGAGCTAGGTCGCTTGGGAGATGAAGAATTGGTGGTTGGTTCTTGTACAGATTTTGACGATCCTTTTATATTGCTATTACTATTTGTTGCAGTAGAACTTACAATGGATACCGCACTAGTTGCTGGAACATCCCATATCCGACCACTAGATACTGGAGGCTTTGCGGTAAGTTGTGGCAATGGTAATGGCGGCGACGTAGATAATGGTGATGTTTGAAGTTTGTCTGGTGAGGCAGAAGGCGATACGGAAAGCTGTGGACGCATTGCTGCTGTTATAGCGCTTGTCTTCGAATCGCAATCATTGCAACGCGTTGGATCTTGCATCGTTGGTGGTTTGACACGACACACCATGCATACGAAGTTCGGTTCATTTGCGTGTCGTCGGCGATGTTTTTTGAGGTCACTGTACTCTCGAAACCGACGATCGCACATATCGCAGCCAAATGGACGTTCACCTATAAATTTAGTAAGTTCAGATAAATATTTTTTTTACGCTATTAGTTATATATACTCGAATAACTAAATAATTAATAAGAATCTACTCACCCGTATGTATCATCATGTGTCTTCGTAAATTGTAACTTGACTGAACTTTTTTGCCACACAAATAGCATTCGAAAAATTGTCGACACTTTTCGCGTCTATCTAAATCATCCCAATGCCTCTCTACTCCTTTTTCATGTTGATCTATAAATTCCGCATTTTCATCATCTGAATGGATAACAACAACATCGCCGCTGGTAATATCCGCTTCTGCACTAAAAACTTCATTCGAATTTGTAACGTAGTTATCATCATCGTCGCATTTCAGCTCACAACTCACAGCTGCAGCGGCAAACGACAATTCATCATCCTCTGTGTCACTTTCAAAGGCATCTGCATCTACTTTGTTGTCAGTGGTGGCAATATTTCCAGGGGATTTACCACATTGATCGGCTTCAGAATCACTGCTATCAGATAGTTCGATATGTGCAATTATACGTTCCTTAGACGAATCTTTTTTCTTTTGCTGTGACACTACCTCGGCTTTTTGGTTAGCCGGTGGGCTTTTTGGAATGAGGCTAATGCTGGGGGAATTGATTCTGTGTTTACCTGCTTCCTTGCCTGGAACGGCCGAATGTACTATAGCTTTTTGTGAATCCCGTTTAATTGCAGCATTTTCCACTTTATCCCTTATTTGCCGCAATTCTTCACGATCATCTTCATCATCCAAATCAATAATCTCAAAAAATACCTCCTCTTCTTTTGCATTGCCCACCGATTTGTTCTTACATGTGTTGCTTCTCTTCTTTTCTAAAGCACTTTCACGACCAATTTTCAATAGCAAACCTTTGATTTTGGAATCTTCTATAGAAATAAAATTCTCTTCTGGCTCCTGGTATTCGTAGTGCGTATTAATATCTGCAGCTGGTATAATTTCAAACTCCGAAATTATTGGGTAAGCCAGAGGTGGAGGATGTACAGATGGAGCCTGTTGTAAAGGCGGAGGCTGTGATAATGTAGCCGTAGCCGTTGGGTGAGATAGAGCTGGCGATGTACCATATGCCGATAAGGTACATGGACCACTACAGCAGGCATTTGATTCAAATAAGTTACTCCTGGCGATGTTTGTACAGCAACTCTGTGGTCGTTGCATTGCGACCTCGTATGTAATACCGCGCCTTCCTTGTTGGTCCCACTGTACATCAAATAGTTCAATTTCCTGTTGAGTAGAAGCGACATTGCAGCACTCCAGGGGCTTCGAGTAGTTCATGCAAGGTCTTGTTGCTGACATGCGAGGCACTGTATGCAGCGATATCGGCACTGATGTGGAGTTATAGTTCACATTTGTTTGCGAAGGCAAGCGAACAAGTGAAGGTGATGCTGTTTGAGGCGGCACTGGCAAAGCCGCATGTTGTTGTGTTAATTGATGATGATGGTCAACGACTTTGAGTGTGGAAAGTGTGCTGTTGCTGTTACCGTGCGTCGACCCAGAAGGTGAACATTTTAACTTCATGAGGATTTCCATTTTGAATATTTATGTTGTTATTTTCCGGATCTACAATTTAAGGAATACTTTCGAAAACTCATCAATTGCAAAAACTTAGGTATTTAGATTATGGATATGTTATTAAAAATTAAAGGAAATTAGTTATTTATTAGGAAACTTTGGAAATATGTAATTTAAAAATAGTTACTTTATATGTGTACATACATATTTATTTATACGTACCAATCAATTTGTTGGTCTTATACAAGAAATTTATAAAAGGTCGCGCTGTAGCTTAAACCAGAAAACGAGGAAAGTTTACCACAACCGCAACATTTTTTTTTAATTTAGCCGTGTGCTTTTCTACTTTTGTCTCGACTCGTCGTTCTCGTCTTTTTCAGCACCAGAAGCATACGTATGTATGTACGTTGTATTATTATAGGTATTGATGTTGCTCGTAGTCAGTTGCCACTTCTGCGGCTTATGTATGTAGTTTCGAACTCGAGGCTGAATCACCCAAGCAGCACGAAGACAGGCAGTCGGGCAAGCAGCCAGACCATCTACCAAGTCTTAACCACTCACGTATTTTTCAATGTAGTTTTT